AAAACTCCTTGAAATTTCAAGGTGTTTGAATCTTCAGGTATATATTATATACAGGGACCCGCAACAGAATATCCCTTTATTTATAATTGGGTCGAGGCACGGTGCAGCTTGTGATTAGCACCACGCCGAGGGCTTTGCCCGCTGACATGGCCAGCCACTACTTAGGGTCCTGATGATCAGGGGAACGCAGGATGCGTTATTCGGTCGGAACTGCAAAGGTCTGAAACACATGGTGAACTTGCCCAGACACGACACATGAGACAGACACATGGTGGACCACATGTGAAGAAAGAACCAGATCGGAGCACTTTCTTCCCATGGGCTTGAAACAATGTTGTTTGTACTAACAATCAAGAGAGTACTAACAATCAAAGACTAAGACTTTAAGAACATATTCAATCAATTGTTGTTAGTACTCTCCTCGCTTTGCATGCACCACAACATGTGCTATGGCTGTACAGTTGTGCTGTGGTGTGCTAACAATCTTTGGTTTGTTCAATATTTTTGAAGTCCATCCTGGATGAACGTTCGGTTGGAACCCTCCGTAGACCCACACCTCGCTGCAGGTAGGTGTGTGGGAGACCGCTCTGCAGGGCTGGATCAATTCCCGAGTCCCAAGGGACTCCGATTCCGCAGCCAGCCCACCTTTTCGTCACAGTCGTTGATGGGTTTTCCGGAGTCGCCGGAGTCCTTCAGGGTTTTTGGTGTTTTCTTTTCAGGCGGGTCAGTCTTGCTGGAGTTGCAATCCAGGTACGAAATCCCCCTCTGGGGATTTAGTGAAGGCATGATGTGCTAGTGATGTGCCGATTGTGTGCTATGCGCAGACAATCAATCTTGTTCTCCCACTGAGCAAGATCTTTTTGGAGATTAGATCTGATAGCTCTTGAACGACTCGGTCGTTCGCTTGCATTTCGCAAGGGCGGGGCGCGCCAACCGTGGATCCCAAGGAAAGACATCGCTGCAATGACAATGAAGGACATCAATGGAAATCAGTAATAATATGCTTATGTTCCATGTTTCTCAACACAAAGACAGAGTCAAATGCAGCCAAAGGCTGCCACGTGAGATGTCCAACACTGCCATGGTCTCGTCCTGCCAGACAGAGTCAAACGGATCAGTCCAGCGATGGAACGATGGGGATCTGCCGGGAACCAATGCTGCGAGCCGAGCGGTCAAAAAGGCGTGCTCGCGAGTCCGCCTGGTGGAGCAGGCAGAGCCGATTTCGGCCGGGCTGGGTCATGTGGCATTTCCCAGACACTCCATGGGACTGGATTACTATGTGCCGCCCCATTGACCCCTCTGGCACCACCCCAAAATATACGCTGAGTTCTCATGAAAGAGAATGACCAAGAGAACAGCTTCTTTGGAGGCGCTTCCATGGTCCGTGTTTCTAAGGGTTCAAGCGTTTCTGATTCTGACGTCCCTTTAAAGGTAAGAATCCTCCCGGATCCTCCCGGCCAGATCTTTGTCATCGACCGTGGGACCCACTGCATTGGGGGGGTGCGAAATCCGCGGATGGCAGGATTTCGCAGACATTCAAGGACGATGGATGGGAGTGTGGTTCCGAAGCCTCACAACTTCCCACTTAAGATCCTGAATGATATGTAGCTTGTTGGATATCGCTTCTGAGGTGAGGAGGCTCGAAGCATTAAGACCCTTTCATGATATCCACCATATATTCCAACATGGCATTCAATTTCCCTAAACACCTAGGGATCTGGGTTTGGTGAAAGGAATCACTCTTGAATCGTAGGAACTTGAAGACTACTTAGTGGTTTCATGTGGTTTCCATTAAAACCACACCTTTTTCCGTGGGTAATTTAAGATCACATGGAGGCTAACACAGCCAGAAGGTTCAGTCCTTAGCTTCTGAGGGTGGGTTGTTGCATCCATGGAACATATTTATACATGTTCTATCATTTTCTGCTTTGGGCAATTTCTGACACCTGAGCCCTTCTCACACCCAAGGCTTACTGGCTCGTCCTTGCGGCTGAGGAGGCGCCTCATTGGGCCCAGAAGCCCAACTCAAGTATCCTTTGCCACTTCCCTACCTGACCATTTCTTTGGTGTGGACACCCACTCTGCTTGACTTCATTTGACTTCATTCGGCCTTGCGCCGCAGCAAGGCCGCAGCTTCGAACGCCTGTCGACTCGACACCTGCGGCTGCCGACGCGAGACGTGCTCTTCGGTGCCTTTGACGCCGACGTGTCGCCCGTCCGGAGGTTGCTTTGCTGATGGGTCACACGGAGCTCTTCAGTGCCTGCGACCTCAACCAATGCACCGCCCTCGGCGCGCAGTCGGCGAACACGTGCTCGACTCTGCCACAGGCACCGTCCACAAAAACCACGAAGCGAGTGACTTGTGCGAGTCATAAGTTAATGTAAGGAATGAGAATTGATTTCACATGATTTTATTATGATTTATATATTATGATTTACAGCTGTTTTACAAGGCATATATTATGTACAGTGATGGGATGATTTCCTGTGGATGCAAGAAGCGACTCGGATGCGGATCTTGGGAGCGTACCCTTCAGGAACGTCGCCTCCACTATCCTGGACCAAGAGAAAAATGGTCTGGGAAACTCTCCAGAGCTGCATGGTGAATTGGTTCGTTCGACTCAGCAGCGGGGCAAACTCTTGGACAAGTGGTTCTGTGTCCTGAGATGCCCTAAGCTTGTTTCTGTTTCCATCCGATTGTTGCCAGGTTCTTCAGCACATTTCAGCAAACATGTTAAACAGTTAAATATGTTAAACCCTCTAGACAGGATCAGCCCGGCGCGGTCGCGGCGCGGAGGACGCAGGGTGCACAGGACGCATGTCCTGGGACTCTCCAGGATTTGGCCGCTTCCATCCGATTCCATCGCCACCGGTCGACATGGGCGGTGTCACCTGGAGCCAAGGTGGACAGGCCTTTCCTGGAGCCAAGGTGGGGATGAAACAGTTGGGCGCGGCGAAGCGCGAAGCTGGATGAAGAAGTGATCAAGATCAAGCCTTCGAGATCGATCCCCCAAAAGATCAATTGAACATCTTGGAGGCTCTGATGCGTTTTTCTTTGTAAAAAGTAAACAAGATCACTAGCTGTTCCATGTCGGTGTTCTTCTCACGAAGGGAGGAAGTACCTTGCCCAAATGGCCCATCCTCTCATCTCCCTGGATGGGACTCAAAAACCACTGCTGGACAGAGGTTAAGCGACCTTGGACCCTACTGGGGTACCTATGGGATAGTCTATAATGAGGTTTCTGCAATCTGTTGGTGCTGGACAAACTGCTTCGGATGCGCTTTGCGCAGGTGGCGCTTGAGGCGCACCGACGCTGGGGCTTCGAGGACAGACGATGTTTGTCTCGAGATGGCCGAACTCCCCTCATATTATTATGTGTTTTCAAAAAAAAGTCAAAACAATGATGTCTATATCAAATCATATGCAAACATGTACATGTATGACAATAATTAGCTTATGGGGGGCCTCCAAGGCTCTAGTAATAGTATCCTTCAGTACATCGAGGAGGCTCTGCAGGATGCTGAGTCCGCAGGATCTGCGGAGGAGGGAGAGGTTGTCCTATCAATTGTCGCTTACTCACCATGCGTCTTCTCACCATCAATTTGGGTATAAAAGCGCACAACAACGGTTTGCCCTGCCATGCTAGAACTCTTGCGTTTCTTGGTTTCGTCCACAGACGGTATGTCCACAGACGGTTTCCTCCACCGTGACCGTCCTGTTCCTTCGGGTCCACCGTGACGGGTCCGTCGGTGCCGACGGAGTACCGTGTTCCGTCGGCAAAGAGAGGTGATGGGTTTCTGGGTTTACAACGGCGATTCAGTCTGCTGGTGTCTTTTTTTCCGGAAAAAAAACTGGGTCATTTGAGGTCACTACTCTGATGGTCTCCGGGTTCTGAAACTCCGGTCGTTTCTTTGTCGGACAGCGGCTCAGCGGACATCGGCCTGACGCTCCTCACATCACCCAAACGCCGTAACCGTCGTTCACAGGGCCCATCTCTTCCACGGTTAGAAGAAGTTGCCCCCAGTTCACTGACCACCCTAGGGCCCTGGCATCCTCAGAGAAGGCGGTCTTCGACCCCCCTGGCACGAAAACCCCAGTCCCACCGAAACGGAGGTATAGTTGGAGCCCAAAAACGGGTGATGAACGATACCTGATCAGTCTCCAGATCTTCACAGGTTTTCACAGGTCTCCGTTTTCCTGCCTTGCGCGTCGAGGACACCGATCAGAAAGAGTGGCGGGACCGACGTCTGGAAGGTCTCCACGGGTCGTGCGGGACATGTCGCGCGAGGCTTTGCGACGCCGCGCGCGCGCGCTATCCGCGCGCTGTTGGCGCATCGTGCGGTGAGTGGAGGAGGTTTTTTTCGGCGGAGCGGGCGAGAGGTGCATGGGTGAAAAGATGGAGATCTCTTGAAGAAGTATGTGGAGAGCTGGATTGTAGATTTAAATGGCTTAACATGCTTTACAGAGCATGCTTCGGAAGACAAACCTCATCACTCCAACAGCTAAAGCCAGCAAGAAATGCCCCTCACTGCGGCCCACCCATCATCCCATGTGTCCTCGCATGCACATGTGCGCACAAAAAAAACGAGTGCGTGCTGCAGGCTACTCTGAGGGTTGCGATGTACATTACATGGTCAAGGTGATCGGCCAATGAGCGACGCGGGTCTTCTCATTTCGCGTGAAAACGAAGGATGCGGGTCTTCTCCCGTACTCTCGGCACAGGCAGGCAAGACATCGAATGGTTCATGACGCGTGTGAGTAAACCACATCAGGAAGCATGTTTTTTGCTCAGTTTGCTGTTCCATGTACTGCACTTTTCGATGCTGTGGGGAAGGAAGTTGAAGGCTGCAAGTCAAAAGCATTCTGTTGCCGCAGCAACTACGTTGGTGTCAGGAGCTCAAGTCCATAGTCTTGGAGCCCAAAGGGCCATACTAGGTTGGGCATATGGGCATGTCGTAGACCCAGGTTTGGTTTTGGTTTGGAGTGACGTGCCCTCTCTTGTTTTTGCCACGGTGGGTTGGAGTTTGCCGGCTTCGACCGACAGGAATCGGACATAGCTTCGCGGCGGTTTCGCAGACGAGACAGGGAGACCGGAGAAGTTGTCGGATACCAAAGTGTGCTGGTCTTTGAGAGTGCAGCTTGAAGTGACTCTTGGATTTGTTGTCCCCTTTGTAATCATGATCCAGGTAGCAAGGCCTGCTAAGTATAATCATACTTGTGGTCGCACCGTTTCCTGGAATCAATACTTGATCGTGTCTACACTGATCGACCGTCCTCCTTGTTGGATGACAGAATAGAAATGGACAGAATAGATCTATAAGATTGTATAAAAACAAAGCACTCCAAAGATCCTCAAACATCAAAACTCCCAATCAACGTCCTGTGTTTTTCTGTGTTTCCATTTGCCATGACAAAAAACGTCTACAATGTTTGAGCCGTGTAGGGGAGAAAGATCATGCAGATGGCGGGCAGTCGAATTCGTGGGTGGAAGCAGCCCTCTTCGACTCTTTCTCGGGGGATTTTCAGCTGAACGATCTCACGGCCATCCAGCCTATGAACCCTTTAACATCTGTTTTTTAAAGCTTAATATTGCTTAATGCAGCTGCATTGCAATCCTAACTTTTATTGACTTCCTTCTTTGGAACGTGTGCAAATTTGGGGAATGTGTCAAACCACCGACACCACCAGTTGCTTGGTATGGCCCGCGTTCAGCGCAGTTGAGCACGTTGGGGCGCAGATTATCCTGCAACGTGAGGGGCGCAAAAAGCGATCGCGGCGTTCAGCTCCGATCGATCTGTGGGAAAAAGGGGTAGCCGCGTAGCCAGGCTTCTGTCATAATCCACATAAACACCCAACAAACAATCACAGAAAGCAAAAAAACACACATAAAAACAAGAACATCCATAAACAGTCACCCACATCTACCAACAGTCGGGCGAGTACATGTTCAATCATTTTCGCACAGGGTCCATCTTTGAGGTGCCGGGTGCCCTGAACGAACATTGCAGGGATTGGGTTTTGATGGGGACAGGGTATACTGTAGTTTGACATCCCGGGTACTTAGTACTTGTAGTCTCTTCATTTGGGCAACCCAGGCACCTCGGTTTTGGCCTGCAGCCACATATTGATTTGGCCAACCAGGACTTCCAGGCAGTTTCGTTTCCATGGCGCTACATGGCCCAGAGACTGGTCCCTTCACTCCGAGACATCAACATCCTTTTTTCAAAACGACAGTTCATTTTGGCTCATGAGCCATGACTTGTTATGCATATGGCATATGTCATCATAATTCATCATATGTTATTCCCGAATATCAATTGAATACACTACCTGCACCAAATGGATGTTTTCTGTGCCCAGGCGAGCGAACAGGACCTCGGACGCAGGCGCGGCGAACCACGTGGTCACCGTGGTCCCTTCTTCGCGTGGTCCAAACGACCTCAACCTCGAGGCCTCCCAAATGCCTACAGGGCGGCCAGGGCGGCCAGGGCAGATGATGTGTCAAACCATGCAGTGTTGAAGGGTGTGAAGTGGAGAAGGTGTTCTTTTCATTGCTTACCCCCAGGTATCCATGGCGGATGGTGGGGAGTCTCCTCGTGTTGTGGTGTGGTGAAAAAGCTGTCGGATTGGGGATTGAATCTGTGCATGTAGAGAAGAGAAATCTTTACAGGTTCTGATGTAAAAGGAAGAACAGACTACGTATACCAAAAGAACCTACCGCATGAAAAACAGGATAAACACCTACATTGGTTGCAGGGTCTCTTTTTTTGGTACACACTCCAATTGCTTGGGTCGGAACACGTGACACGCCGCTGGGCGTGCTCAGTTTGCGCCTTCTGAGCGCCTTCCTGCAGGTTTATCGCCGACTTGGAGCTTCCAGTGCGTGGGAAGAAGGCAGGTGAACGTCATCCAGGTGGATTTTTGGGGTAAATCTGTAGGGAGCCCAGACCGCCTGGAGGCTGGAAACAAATGTAATGCTTCCCTTTTAAGAGGGAGCTGTATACACGGAGTGCCGTAGGGAGGAATATTCCCACCCGAAAACACCCATCGCTTGAAAACGTCATGCCAGTCATGTGGTGGTTTGCACAGAACAGCTCATGTGCTTTGTGGAGAAGATGATTGCCAGTGTCATCCAGGTTCTCAAGGTATTTGGGAGTTATCCAAAAGGTCCTTGTAAGGGTTTTTAATGTCAAGAGCCTTGGATGACATGATCGTGGGTCTCGCGAAAGTTTTTTTTCGAGTTCGCGAATGTTAATGTTTTTTTCGCGAAAGATTCGCGAAAGTATGATTTTTTTTTGTATGTTCTTTGGCGAGCCTTCAGGCTTGCCCCATGCATAACCACATCCTTTTCTGACCGTCAGCAGCTTCAACTTTGGAATCCGTGTGAAGCTTCCTTCCTGTTTCATGTAGTCCACCCTATGTTATGTATGCCGTAAAAACCTCCAAAGCACAGGGATTATTTCGCGAAAGTTTCGCGAAAGTCTGGCGAAGGTTTCGGCGAATGAATCGGCTCCAGAGGAACCCCGTAGCCCATAGCAACCCCACAAACTGTATTTAGAAATCGAGTCCCTACCAGGTTAAATGGTTTCATGACATGGTGAACCCCCGCGAAAGAAAAACACAGGGTTCGCGAAAGTTTCGCGAATGTTAATGTTTTTTTCGCGAAGAATGGCCGTTTCAATAAACAAGAATATTGGACAACCACCAGATATTGATATTATATATGTTATTGTGTATAGATTGCGCAATACCAAAAAGGTGGTGGTCTATACATGTTTATATATGATATGGACCCCCACCTAAAAGTCATCTTGGGGGTTGTGCCATTTGCTCTGAAACCATTGTAATCCTCAATGTTTCTCATTGTTTCTTTGCCTTTCACCTTTGGAAGTCCAGAGTGCCTCGTCACTTCAGTAGACCTCCACTGGTCCATGTCTCGACCTCCCCAGGGCACACGACGCCTGGGCCCGGTGCTCTCCCGCCCGGAACGCCGAAGAAGCGGCGGGTGGAGCCGTCCGCGGGCCGGGGAGTTCGTGACCTCTTTGGAGTCTGTAAGTGACCAAAAGGTCTGGGATCTCAAGTTCGGTCACGAACTGAAGGTCCTGGGACATGGTCCGGTGTTGACCAGCGAAACATGGTCCGGTGTTTGGATCTATGACGGTGTATGGGACCCTCCCCTATGATTGGTGAAACTGGCGGGGCTGCCCACACGTCACATGGCCATGTTGTTTTTTGGGATGTTTAATATGAAGCCTGGTTGGCCGTTAACCTGTTTCACCTTGCATGGAGGATGGGTGTCCCTTCCAAGCATTGGATGTGGATAGAAAGGCCTGCATTTGTTTGAGAGGACTGGCTTTGCTGTAGACTTCATTCATGTGGGATGCAGATGTCATTTGTTCAGCTAAGCCGGAGGCAAGAATTGAACACAAGATCGGGCATAAAGACCCGTCACTGAATGAATCTCAAGCAGGACATTTATGTGCCTAGCTCTCAGCATTCAACTGTCAGAGAAAGCTTTTGGGTGAAAGCCAATCCAACTTACACCTGAATTTGCATGTCTCCACCGTTGCAGTATTCTATTTTTTGCTGAAGAATACCAAGAACTGAGAGTGTTTTTCCAGTGACTCCTCATTCTTGAATGTTTTTCATATCCAAACCACCAGGTAAAGGCCCCTGGATGGCCACCAGGGCGAAGCTGGTGCCAAGTTGGCGGTGCCCAGGTCGGCTCTTCAGTCTCTTTCACCCCTATGCCACCTCTGATCAGTTCATCGCCTGACGTGTCAGTTCACGCCGTTTCTCCGCCGGCGTCAGTGGTCGAGTTGAAGGGAGTCTTTTCTGCGGCCGGTTCTGTCAGATGAGGTCCTCCTATAGATGGACATAGATAGACATGTCTTTGAAGCTTAGGTTGTTTCAAATGTTTCAAGCTGTTTGTTATTGTTTGTTTGTTGTTCTTATTATCCATGTGTTTTTTGTGCAACATCTCTCATTTGCTTTCAGAATCGCAAACTCGACAGCCTTCGATTCGCTGAATTCAGTGCCATGACCTTTGTCAACGAGCGAACGCCACGACCGACGAGTGGTCAGTGCCGCAGACGTGTTCTGCGCGACCAGAAGCAGATTGCGATCACCACTGCAGAAAAAGAGAAAAGCGGATGCACTCTTCATGTGACACAACATAATTCAACATGTTTGATGACACGGCTAGGATATGTTGTTCACTGAAAAACTTGTTTGACAATGGTATGTACATGACCCAGTGTGACTGGACACTCTTTGTCCAAACACTCTGACTTCTCTTAAACAGCGTGCCATGCACATTCACCCATGACAACCCCTTAACCTGCCAAGTCGCATGTCATATGGCTTCTGGACTTGGTAATTTCGATGTGCCCACAGTACAAACACCCTTGTTGTGTGTGAACACAGGGCAACGAACGAACTCGTGCGGGCAAAGAACTCCAAGGTCTGTGTGTTGCGGACGACGTGGAGTTCATAGACGTGCAGGAGGTACTTCTCTATTTCCCTGACAGTGCAAGCTGGAGTGGATGTTCCGCGGAAACCATAGGACATGGGTGCCCGGGAAACTCCAGTCTCCACATGATTTCACTGCACACTTGGAAGAAATCCGGTACCCAACGGGAGAGTGAACACCAATGCTGTTAAACAATGTTAAACAGTGAGTCCAGTGTTCGAACCGATAGGTCATAGGCTGAAATCGCAGCCACGCGTGCTCAAAGTCGCCCGGCGTGAGCATGAGCCATGACCAGGGTAGCAGATGTATTTGTCAACTCAAGGGACCAGTGCATCAGCCAATGATCTTGGACAGCAAAGCCATTCTGAGAGTAAACCCTTCGCGAAAACCACAGCTCAGTGGCGAAAACATCGGGGTGGATGATCCGCTCAGCTTGAGACCGTTGATGTGAAAAGTCATTGACTGTAAAGAAAAATCGTCACTTCAAGTAATCCAACTCAGTGTTATTTTTTGAAATTTTTGTCCGACCGCCGACCACTCCAAACAGTTTGAAACTGTCCAGCTTGTACAGTATGTTCGCACAGGATCCCCTGCAGACAATGCAGAGTGGTTTGTCCATTGAAAAGCGGTTGGGAACCCTTTTGCCGACGGATGGTGGAGACGAAGACAGACATGTCCTCCACGGACCTCGTGGCCTCCAAGCTTTTCCTATGTAATTCATGGGGGTCCCATTGGCATGTGTTCTGTCCCTACAGTGTATGTTTTCCTCGTTTTGATGTAGTTCTTCGCTTCTTTCGTCGCCGATGCCCTAAGTCGCATGCGGTACGCGCCTTGGAGAGGCGGGTGGGGTGGTTCTTCCGTGCGGGACTCGGGGGGGCCGGACTCGGGGGCTTTTCTAGAATCGGATCAGGTGCTTTTGGATGTCACAGACGAAAACCGGATGCAAAACCATTGGTGTGTTCAGCTCATTTGGCAAAAACCTGGGCTGTTCAAGACGCTCCTGAGATGTTTTACCCACGTCTCAGGGTGTTCAACTCTACTCTTTCGCAGATTCAAGACGTTCCTGAGACGTTCTCCAAGACGTTTCTCCACATGTGTGTCTCTAATTCCACTCAGGGACAATTTGTGGGGATGCATTTGTTTGTCTATTCAATTTATAATCCAAAACATGATTTTAAACATACTAAAATCATTCAACAACAATATACTGTAAAAATACTAAAAATGAAAGCAACATATAAAGTTTAAAGCACTATAGTTTTTTTCAATGAGTGACGTGTTTGTTCTGTGTTTGTTTGTCTAGAGGGGGGGGGGCCATTGTTTACGTTGCTACATTGATGTGATTTTGTTGTGAGTTTAGAGTCTCTTTGGCCATCTAGGCAGCAGATGGTGCCTATCTAATAAAGCGGGAGAGTAATCGAACTGTTGGAACTGTATGTTGACGACAACAACAACAACCAGACAACCTTTAAGCATCAGCAGACCGAAGAGCATTGCAAGGTAGTTCCGACCTGCATGTTGTTATATGTTTCCAACAGAAACACAAAATAGACATTTCAAATCATTTCAACATATAAATGTCGTATGCAGGTATGTGTTCTTGCTGAACAGAACACTACGGACTTATAGGGTTTGCATAGAGCGTGCGTACGGCCTAGAATTAGCAGGTTTGACATCCTTTGACAAACATACACTGGAAAAAAAAAATTGTGGTTGCAGCCTGAAGGAGGTACAGTTTTTTTCAGAAATATCGAGTCCTACTTTACGATCGTGTCCAGAAATCGTGCTGCTAAACCACACTTGGATTCAAGTGGCTTGATATATATATATATATTGTGACAAAAAAATATTGTGGTGGACACAAACAATTGGTCCGACAAATCCGATCCCTCTCAGTAAAGAACGTTGGTTCTTGGACGCTTGACTATACATACCAACCTACGCGAATAGGTTGAGAACGGCATGCAACCAGGTGTTTGTTGTGATGCATGAAACAAACCAGGCAACGGTTGATCCCTTGAAACGTCCAACAAACACATCTTTTGGAAGGCACGAACCCTGTGGTATCCGGTGCTCCGGGCACTTCTGTGGCTCCAACAACTCGCCACCGATATCTGGTTCCGTGTGGAGGGTTCAGATGGGTTCAGATGTGGGTCATCCCAGACGAACAGTGACGAATCTGTAGGGATAGACCATTCATGAGATTGGAATATATGCCTAATTATGCCTACATGGGGACATATGCCAAACCACCCCTGGCCTGATCTGCAAAGAATGCCAGTCCCATTGGTCGTGTTTGGCCTAGGGATAGACTCCTCTTCCCCTTAACAGTCGACTAGAATGCGTGGGGCGACCACCGACGCGGCAATGTGCCGTTCCGGACGACTGCAGGCCCAGCATTGGCCTCCTTGAGGATGACTGGGGACATGGGGACATGGGCGCATGATGATGCAGAATTCACTGCTAAAACCCAAAATACTACCATCATGTTGCTACCTTTTTCTCTGGGGATGAACATCAATTTAATATTGCTCTGCTCTCAACGATCTTCGGAGGATCCGGGCATTCAATTGAGATGACTAGTCTTGTGAATCATGCCCTCTGATGATGGCCAAGACCCTGAACAATGTGAGGGACCTGGAGCTGAGCAGCGTTTGGTGGTTAGTTTGAGTGTGATCTTCTTTTTGTTTATATATAGGTCCGCCGATTAAACAAGGCAGCATTTGACAGCCTGCTTGATGTTCAGCATGCTGGCATTCTGACACGTGCCATAGGGGTCCACGATTCCACCACCCCCCAAGGGGTCTGGCGAGTCCAACGCGTTTTCGGCGACTGCAGGAACGCACCCCACTCTGCTGTTGATCACAGACATTCCAACGAAGATCACAGACCCGCACTCTGTTGCTTGCTTCGTGGATGTCCGGCGACGTCCCGCGTGCGTTTTCTCAGGATTCATCGCCGAGGCGGCACCTCTTTGGCAGGTGCGGCGTGTGACGCGTCACACAAGCGGCCGTGGAGCCTCCCATGTCACGATGCATGTGGTGCAGGTTCTCCGGTCAGGTTCATACTTACGCGAAAGTGAAGAAGAACCAGTGTGTTTGTTCCCTCAGAATGGGTGGAGAACGACAGCCAGGGTTGAATGAGTTGAGTGAGACAAAATCAGCCCGAGCCGAAAGAATACTTGGTCTTACCCAGACCATCCGATATGCCGCCCCATCGACCCCTCATGGCCAACCCCCCTTTTCTCGGCACATATGGCAGTCAGTCGACCTGGGTGAGACACATGTGGATCACGGTTGATGTGGATCACTGAAATTCCACACATCTCCAGGTCTCCAGGTCCCAGACCCTCAAAAGACCAACCGTTCTTTTTGCTGAAGAAAGATCGTCTTGCCGATGGAGTTCTTTTGGCACTTGGATTTCGACCCCCCTTTTGGCACTTGCCGTCATTGTTTGGGCGGCGGCCAACGCAAACCAGATTGGCACCCTGGGCTTGGTTGGGGGGCTTCAAAACCCAAACATCACCTTCGGTTTCAACCATCCGGTTCTTCGGATCCTCCACACGCCCGGATGTTCCTCTTTCAGGTCGGCCCGAGGTGCAGTATCGCGAGGTGCAGATGTTTTTCTGTCTCCGCTTCTCGCTTTGGCCCAAAAAACAGAGATGGTGGAAGGTTCAAAAAGGGCGGAGGTGTCCGAACACGAGGGAAGGTGAGGGAGGGAAGTGTTTCCTGTCTTTGAGGGGTGGGTTTGGGGAGGCGTTTTGGTGTTTCGTTGGCACAGCCCTTTGGTTCGCAAAAACTCAGCAGGAACATGGCAGCAGTGCTAGGTCTTGCACGCATCCAATCAAGTTCTTGGGCAATGTGTTTTTGGAAGATACTGTTATTTAAGACATGTATGAAGGTCTATGAGCTTCCTCAACAGAATAGCAGACAAAAGAGCAAGCATATATGTGCGAAGGGGAGGGCTGAAGAGATCTTTTCTGGTTCCAGAATCCATCCAGTGCTTAACTTCTAATAAGCAGACTTTGCATAAAAGAGTGAACAGTACTTGGTCACTCGTCATCCACCGGGCAACATGTTTGGGAGATTCTAGAGCACCTTTAGCCAAGCATGACCCCAATTAGAATCCTTCTGTAACCTTCTTGCTTTGGTGTTCTTCATCAAATCTGGTTATGGATGTTGATGGATGTTACAGGGTCAGCACTCCAGAGCCCTTGTGAAGAGGAAACGGACAGAGCGCTTGTGGGGGTTCCTCAGGACTGGCACCGGCCCCCCCCCTCAAGAGGCTTCATGGTGGGACGGCACGTTCTGTCACAGCCTGGTGAAACAGATCGATTGTTCCCAACCAGCAACCTTGGTGACTACCTTGGTGTTCATAGACTCACCCGTATACCTTGGGTTTGTCCCAGTAAACCTGTAACAGTCGGTAAATTATTGTAGAGAAAGGCCTGCAACCTAACCATACCCAGACGCTCCATGGGACTGGCATATTTACCGATCAGTTGGGGTGGTGCCAGAGGGGTCAATGGGGCGGCAAAGATTCCATACCAGGACCCTCCAACAGGTCTCCTCTGGAGGCTTTTGCAAGTCGGTGGTGACCTGTGAAAGTACCTGTGCTGGTACATGGAGTGTCTGGGATAATCATCCACTGTTTCTGGGAACTGGATAGACCCCAAGTGTACCTTGATGGGACTCGGAACTCGCCAGTCACCGAAGATGTCTCAACCGTTTGGGGGTTGTGGCACCAATTACCTCCGTTTCGAAGGTGTTCAGGGTGGGTTTGGTCTAAATACCTTGTGAGGATATGGTTGGAGCCCCTAAAAAGGGTCTAAAACCTTTGTGTTGTATACAGAGCTTTAAGTTGATTCTCCATCTTTGCATCGCACAGGCACCTATCATTACTGCGGATCTGTTGCCGCAGCCGTCAGGGACTCAGGAGAAATTGGACAGGGCGTCTGACAGCAGATGGCCGCTGTTCACCGCCTTCAAATCCTCAAATGGCAGTGGGTCAAGACCGAACACCCTACAAACCATGGGTTCGGTTGACCTCCCTTATGGGAGAGATCTGTTCATTTTTGGGGTGGTTCACCAGGAAATCCCCTGTTGTGACCCACTTTGGGAAGGCATCTCGTCTCAACCAGCAGATTTGGGAAGACTGAGCCAAGAGTCTTGAGGGGAGTATACATATATATATATATACTATACTGATAGCTAGCCTATGCTAGCCGTTTTGCTCCCAGACACGACCCATGGGACTGCCATATTTGCTGATCACTTGGGGGATCAGTTGGCAGGCTTTACTTGGATGGGCCTGGGTAGTCCAAAGATGTTGGGCAGAGGAATTGATCTTTGCTTCGTTCATTTCGCCCGTGTTCATCCTGGTGCAAAAATGGTTTGTCGGTGAACTGCATGCGACTTAGACTTTGAGGTAGACTGCGCGTGGACGAACTGCCACAGTACAGTACAGCGCACTATAATGGTAAGACATTTCTTTGTGGCTGTCCTTTGTCTCCATCGTTAAATGGCTTCAAAATCAGCTGAGCAACTACCGACAACCAGCTTCACAAAGGTCGTTCTGCCAGCTTCACTTCCTTCACTTCACCAAGGTCGTTTTGGGCGTCATCCCGTTTGTCCTATCAGTTTGTCCTTTGGAATCCCGTCTTTTGGGTGGAACGGTAATGAGATTGGTTCAATGGATTGGTGAGTGGATTCATGTCAAATATGGGAACCCATCCAGAATGCTGAAAAAGTCTCACGGGTTTAATACTCTACAACCCCTTCTTGATGACTGGTCATTCTGAGCAGTATTCTCCAAATTGCGGTTGTCTCGTGAAGTTAGCGTCCGTCAATCCCTTTGGATGCTGAAGATCGACCGCCTGAGAATGGTGTTCAAACATGCAACAGCGAAATCGACTAGCATCGACTAGCATCTTCATTGCCAGGTGACGTTCGTCTGAATTCGCCTCCTTTTCTTCCACGCTTTCTCCATCCCCTCCCTCCTTCATCCTTCCCGCCCCATCTCGTCTTGAATCTGGCGGCGGGGGGCGAACTCGGGCGCCGGCGGAAACGACCCAAAAAGCCGCCGAGACGCCGACGTCCAGAGGATCAACCTGCAGAAGTTCCGGGACTTGGTCAACACCGATCGGAGCACCACCCTGAAGTGGGGCCAGGGCAAGGTGCGCAGTCTGGAGACCGTTATTGTCGAATCCGTATTTCGGGGTCGAGGGCGGTTTCGGGGGTGAACCGGGCGAGAGCGAGGAGAGCGGCATTTGGGGCATGTGTACACTCTTAAAAATCCCTATGGATCCTCATACCTTTTGAGAAGGTGATTGAAGACTATTTATGTAGGCTTGGAGAGCCCGCATACCTTCTGAGAAGGTATGTGGATCCATAGGGAATGCAATTGCCTAGGGACAATACATCAGAAATTGCATTTTCCAATTGCATTTTAAAAGTGTCTACTTGGATGCCACGGCATCTAAAATCAGCTGTACCAGTCCTGCCATCATTGTTTCACTGTTTCCAGGGCATGTCATCAACAGATGGTGTGTACTTTCTGGGTACTCATACTCGCTGGTTCTTTCAGACATGTTCTTTCACACCACTCCAGCGACGAAAGGAAGAGCCCAAGCGGAGTTTCCGAGGGTGGCACAGAACAACTCGACCATTTACTGGTAGGAATGGCAGTGCACCCTCTCAAAAAAGTGTCAAGTTTCTTTACACTGCCCCTTCTTCATGACACCGCATTTGAGTCAAGGAATGAGCAGTAATTAGTAGAACACGCCAATGGTTTGGCATGGCAAAAAGATCGGCTACCACAGAAAGGGGCTGCAAGATCATTTGTACCAATACCTTGGAGTCTGGCAACAAAAGGTTTGTCATAGATCATTTCCGCAAGTTCTTGCAACTGATGGCGCACAGAAATCCCGTGGCCCATCACACTGTTGAACGGGATCCTGGGGAGGCTAGGCACCTCAGCGTATCGAGCTTCGATGCAAGGCTCCCGTCACCGCTGCGGCCGTCGACTGTTCGGTGCACCAGTGAATGCGTTGCTAGTTGAATGAGTGTCAAACCAACGGTGTGGGCATTGCTCGGACTCCGCAAGGACCACGCCCCGGAGCCCTGTTTACTCAGACACCCCATGGGACTGGCATGTTTACTGACCTCGTGCAGATCTGAGGGAATGATAGGGGATGAGGGTGATGTAATTTGCAATCAAGACATTGTTATGCCTTTCCAACCCTATCAAAATGATGAAGGAGAAGCGTTCAGTCACACATCCCACCTCCATTTCCTTCTGTGTGTTCCCAACCTGCTCCACACTGCTGTCTCCAGGTCTTGTTCTGTGATGGCTTGGGCGGCACCGCCAGCAGCGCCGTGCTCTTGGCCGAGGGCTGTGTGGTGTGTTGGCAAGCCACGGAGGCACAAAGGCAGGGCGAGGACCTTCCGGATGATTGGGAGACGAAACGACCAACGGCCCAAAGAAAACCAATGAAAAATAGAGGGGTTCACATACAAAAAGAATTTAATGTATTGTTGATGGTTTGTGGGAACCTTGTATTGAAGGCTCATCTGAACAAGATAATCCAGATCAAGAGGGGCAACTGGGGCAACCCAGAGATTTGTCAGGCTTTGGCAAGAATCTCGCAACCATTTGCGGACAGTGACATAGATCTTTTAAAGCACGTTGCAAACCCAGTCTTATTTTTCACCATTGTCAGATCGCCATTTTGACTTCCAGATGATTGATTTGCATGATTGATCATGATCAAGATCATGACTCGGTCATCTAATTGCGTTTGATCATGTTTGATCTACGAGGGAACTCTTCCACCCACTGTGGACTCTTGATGATATTTCAACATATTTCAACCCCTCCGACATGTTTTGAAAAGCCTCTTCAGGCCCGAGCTGGGGGTTGAAATACAATCAAACAGGATCAAAAAAAGTAAAGACAACACTTTCCAACATATCTTCCTTCATATATATATATATAATTATAGTATAGTATATATGTGTATGCTTGATTCTTGATTATATTATGTCAGTCTACATTTGCCATTTGTTCCATGTCCCCTAACCGCGCAGGCGGCTTTTGCTGGAGAAGGCGGCCAGCTGCCCCGAGACCCGTGGCCGGCGCCGGAGAGCCCCAGCATCGGCGGTGATAGGTCCAATGAAAGAGCGAAACCAAAAACCAATGGCAATGGCGTCCAACCTACTTGCGATGGCCTCCAACCTAAACAAAAACCATATTCTTTCGTGATCTCTTTCAGCCCTAGCCTTCGTGAATGCCCTAGACGACGACTAGTTCGACCATTAATTAAATGAATGGTTCTTCCCTGGTGGTGTAGTGTAAAAAACCTTAGTAACACAACAGGGTTCTTTGATGTTCTTTGGCAACGACCATAAAACAAACATACTTAAAACTATTAAAGCAATGGTTGATCGAATCTTAGGGAATGGAATTTGATTTGTGAAGCGGGGCTTCTTTGGTTGGACCGATCACAACTCTAGATTACATTGAGGTTCCTTGTACAAAGCTCGTATATACTGTAATTCTAGAAGGCTGGCCATCATTGTTTGCTACATAAAACAAACAGGGCCCTCCTGTCGGGGTGTCTATTTATAGCCCCAAACAGCTGTGAAAAACGGGGTGTCCATGGTCCCCACCCCAGAACTGGTATTCCCAGATCTTTGCTTGTTTGTTCATGTTCCCAGATCTTTGCGCGCAGACGTTCCATCCTTTTCCGACCGGATGTTTGAACGGGGACGTTGGATTTGATCGCTCGTGAGCCAGGAGTTATTCGAAGGGTTCACACCAAAACCGATCGGTTTCGAGGGATGCCTTTGGAGCGGGGCATGAGCGTTGACTGGAGAATGATTCTGTGAAAGTTTGGGTCATCTTTGGGTGGCAAGGTTGAGCTGTGTCTGAAAAGGGGAAAATTACACCTCCAAAAGCTGCTTTGACTGCCTGAAAGCAGTGTTGGCAGCTGCTGGGGCATTGTTTTATTGGGTTGGTGGATCATGTTTGTTATGTTGGGTGTTTGTTCGTGCTGTGCCAAAGTCCAAAGCAAGTTCTTCCACCCAAGCACATCCAAGCATCTCAAGCCCGAGGTTCTTCCAAAACCCCCAACAAGCTCTTGCAACAGGTGAAGCATGTGTTGTTCCTACCAGCAGGTGAGCAGATGTTCGCAGATGTTAGCAGGTCTTCGCGAAAACGGTCAAACCCCTTTTCCGCCTCACGGCAGCGCTCCGAGGCTTCCGCTCCTTGGGCGAAGCACGTCCGGAAACCCACCAGACCCACGTCCAGCGGTCGCGGAAGCGGAGATATGCCCAGATGGCGAAGGACCAGTGTGTTTGAACCTTCAAAGAAATGAGTCTGGCAAAAATGTAAAAAATAGTTATAGAACTAGTTATAGAAGTATATGTGTATGTGAATATATTGTTTGGACCTTCAAATATGATGTTTTTTGTTCAAAACCCATTCGAGCAACTAAAGACCTTGCTTTATGTGTTTAGTCAAGGTCTTGTCATATCAAGCCCCGCGTAAGAAAAAGCCATGAGTTTTGTTAGGTTGCGTAAGCACTTTGGGGATATGATGTTGCTGGAGCACTTGCGTAAGCTCCATTCTTTTCTTTGGGAGTCCAGGATCGAAAAGAGGAAGACAAGCAACCACATTGGAGCTGTTACATGTGTTTTTGTTTTTCTTGTTTGGGACTTAGTAGGATGGACTCTCAAGGCTGTTCTGAACACCATGTATGCCTTTCAGCCCTTGAGGAACCTTTAGTTAAATCAAAGGTTAGGCGTTGCTGCTTTTAGCTCAGGCAGGAATATGAGGAAGGAGACCCCTCCCTGTCCGGGCGGTTGGCCCGCCTCTTGCCACATCAAGCAATGTGTTGGCCAAATGTTCCAACCTGTTTGGAACGAACGTCACACAGTCTGGATCGCATGATGTGACACCTGGTGTTTGCACAGAAGGATTTTGCGCGTAAGCAGTTGCGCAAGGATGGCGTAAGCACACTCGTCCAAAGTGACTAGTAGCCCACAATGGGAGCAGGCTGGGGCCCAAGCAGGAGACGAAAACCTCCCGAAAGTTCTCCGCCCAAAAGCTGTTCAAATCTTCATCGATGCCAACAGCCAAAAGGAAATTTGGAGGAGAGGTGGTCAGGCAAGGCTCAGGCACTGAGTAAGCAAGCTGCCAAAGGCGGACTGCACCAGGGACCGCATGATCCTGCTTCTCACTTCTTGAACCTCTGAACCTCTGCTGCCGCAAGGAAAAGACCCTGCGTAAGCTGCGACTGTGGAAATCCTGCAATTTTGGTGCCCATAAGGGCTTGCGTAAGCTCTTCTTGCCTGACTAGCTCCGCGTAAGCCAAAAACTGGCTTGCGTAAGGATGGAGTAACCGCCAGTGGAAGCAAGTTGATACGACAGGGAGTTACCGCAGGTTTTCAGAACAGCTCACTTGGCATGAAACATGTTTACCATCTGTTGTGGTTTCCCACCTCCCTCATCGGTTCGCAAACTCTTTGAGAGGTGAAAGTTCCCAGACTGCGGTCCAAACGGTCCAGGTCCCAACGTCCGCATTTCGGGCATCATGCATCTGAATGTAAAAAGGGATGTCTTGGGATGGGCGGGAAGAGAGCTTTGAATGAGTTGGTGCCAAGTGTTAAGGCTCAGCAACTTGTTGTGGGCGAGCACGTGGAAGGAACTTGTTTGAACGAGTCTGAATATGGTGATGGGTGATGTTCTATTTGTGGTAACTTGTTTAACCGTAGTTCCACACAGCTTTGCTGCTGGATCCATGACAATTCTCGACTGCCACTGAGCTGGCGGTCTTTGGCCAATTCACCCGGATTGGATTCAATGGATTTCATTTAGTGAACTCTGAATGGATTTGGCACAAAGAATACTTACAGTATAAATACCGTATACAGTACATATAATGCCTGCAACCTAGTAGCTTCTTATGCTATATTAAATATATATATATATATCAAGAAGCTATACTAGGTTGCAGGCATAGTAATAGGAATTGGACCGCCCAATGGACCCTCCGACTTGCCCATCCGGATCCGACACGCACCACGAGGCGAATCCTTCGGCTCACCACGCTCACCAGCTGTGCCCTGGAAGGATGTGGACCACGGGTGAGGACGAAATTCAAGTTACATGCACGGCATGCACGGAAAGTGTGTGTTGTTCGTGTGTTTGAGAGTGTTTGTGTGTGTTTCACATCAATTGTTGGTGAAGGATTTCCTGACGAGACACTTTTTTGGGAGGCCCAAATGTACGTGAGTAATTCCATGAGGAGAAGTATGAGCTGGGTGTTGAAGGCGAGGACCTGTAATTTGCTGGGTGTGCAAGTCGTGTTGGGGGAAGACTTAGCTGGCTTTCAGAGTTCCAGGAAATACATTATTATGAAGCTTGGCTATGGCTATGGGTGGTAGAAGGATTGGATTATATACAATGAATTTAAATATTTTGTGTTTTGTGTTTTGAGTTTTGAGGGGTGGCAGATTGTTTTTCAAAACTGTGTTTCACCTTGCTGAATGTTGCTAGGGAAACTGACAGAGTTTGATTTTTGCAAGATCGGATTGCGTGAAGAACTGTGTTGATCGACCTTCATGTGCCCTGGAAGAAATCAGCCCTGGAAGAAGCCTCTAGAGCTTCACCGATCTCCGGTGGATGGCGGCTGTGGGTCACCAGCAGACCGAACGGTTGGGGCCTTTGTGGTCCTTGGCTACATGGTGGACTGGTCGGGCACCAGGTTTTGACCGATTTGTTTATATTGGATACTTGTTCCTAATAGCTTCTTGGTGCTACTAGTAAGGCACCTGTTACTACTAGCTACTAGCGTGGCACTTGTTCCTACCTATTGGACACCTACTGCCAACCGTGCTGTGGCATGGACTGTCCGCACCGTCGCGCGAAGCCGCGGCACTATGGGGTCGATCCTTACGTCGTCCGAGTCCGTCCGAGCCACCAGTTTCACCCCTGACGACATGCCACGACGCTGGGGTGGATGTTTCCACCTTGAAGTCCGAAAAAGTGCATGTAGGTGACGCGTGCGTAGACGCTTATGGAGCTCGGAATACGGGCAAACACTGACTATATAGTAGCTCAGGACTTGCAACAAGTACAGCCACTTGCTCAAAAGGGATGGTGAGCCTCAGTTTGAGACAGCTGGATGTTACATCTATGATTGCTCACCATTGTGCTAGGCAACACAAGTATCACGTCACACACTTTCACTCGACCCAGGCTACATTGGGTGAACTCGCCCTGTTGTTTCAGCATCCGTCCCTCCACCTCCCCCCAAAAGAAGCAAGAAGGATCAAGAAGGATAGAGTTCCCTCAACTCAGGAAAGACAGAATTGAAACAGTCAATAGTTGCTTTCAATGTTTTTCAACTCATTTCCTGATTCCCAACGACGCATGACCCGGCTCAGGGTATACCAAGCACACCTAAAGCATGACAAAGTTATACCATGTTATACCTGTTGCCTTCTTCGAACACGCGGGGAAACGCCGCGGAGTCTGCCCAGGTGAGCAGCGAAACGTTGGACCTGGGCGAGGCCGCGCCAGGCGCGGCCTACTCTCGGGGCACCCCAAGAAGAAGCGAGCGAGAATCGACCCGTTGACCGACGGTGGGGTGAGTGGTTGTCAAATCAACCAGACAAGGAGATCACATGTTTAGAAACAAGTTCGAAGTGACGTATGGTTTCAGGGTGACAGGTGCCCAGAAACCACCTGTGATAGGGTCCCAAAACAGCCGGTTGGAGGGTTCTGGCAGGTGAAATAGGGACTTGCATTTGTCCTGTAGATGAGTTCCGGCAATGACCAACTTGATTTATCTCGGACTCACCCGGTTTGTTGGCAGTTGGATGGATTTTGAGAGGCAGTCCACTTATGGTGAAGGGGTCTGACCCTCACTGAGCAGATCTGTGGTGGTCCAAGAGCCGACCTTTTCGGCTGTTCTAGGACAGGACTTTGCCCCAATCAAGCAGGATAAGAACGGCATGGTCAAACGGTCAAACTGAAAAAAGCATGGGATCAACCATCAGCGCCAGTGATCTCGGCTGGAAAAATGCTCCTCTGACTCAAACCCATGCATGGGAGCGCATGTAGCGTGACATGATCTGTCTTTTCTTGGCGATAGTAGAGAACTTGCTCGTAAGCTCACCATGTTCGCTTTTGACTTACAGCCACTATTGGGAGTTGGTTCTCTTTCAGAGGGATCGAACACTGGAAGCGACCGTGACTTCATGACCTTAAAACGCCTCGTTCCAAGCTGCTTCAGACCCTCCGCCTAGCATGTGGTGTTCATGAAGAGCCGGCTCATGCGCGTGCGCTCGCTCATAATCCTTTATTTTTGTAAAAGGTCTGTAATCTTTGGCTCGTCACATCATCAGTGTGCGTGCTCATGCATGCGGAGAGCTGTCGTCTTGTGTGTGCAGTCCCCCCTTAGTTATGAGGCGCAGAGTCACAGAGAAAGAGATTTAAAGAGAGAGAGAGAGAGTGTGTGTCTGAGTCAGAACGAGATTGGAAGAGAGTGGCAGGACACTGGGAGATTGTCATTGAGTGCGACACTGGAAGAGAGTCTATAAGCGATTGTCCTGTATTATTTAGGGCAGATGCACTACCTGCGACGCGCAATCAAGCTTCCTGTCGCCAGGTTTCTCTATACCTTGTGCTTTGGAGGGCGAGCAGCCAGCGCGCCAGACAAACAATAGTTTCTCATTGCTGTTTTGCGCGCCAGTGCGAAGATTCAGTTTCCTTACTGCAGGATCAGCTCGCGAAAAGACTTGGCCCAAAGTACTCTGAGTGCTAGAAAAAGTGATCGTACGCTGGTGATGGCAAAGGCGACCACGCCCTCCATGTCACAGGACGAACTTTCGATGCTTCTGCGATGGCCCTGATGGTGCAGCAAGTGAAGCCAGGGCACCCCACTATTTACGAAGAAGCCGGCTTTGCAATGGAAAATGGGAAGGAATGCCTTGGCTACACTCAGCCCTTGTACCTTGACCAGAAAAAGCCGGCGAAGGCCCTAGCAATGTCCATTGCTTTGTGACCTACGCCCGCGCGATGCTGACCGCTGGCGTGGTAAAGGCAGATGTGAGCTGGGGCCAATAATACTACTTGTTCAACAAGGACGTCGAGCACGCCAGTATGCTGCGGAAGCTGCTAGACCTGTACCCCTTTCAGAAACCCGATGTGGCAACATTTAAGAAGGAAGAGTGCATGGCGGCAATCAATCTGGTTTGCCTGAAGGGTGCTCTTGTTCGTATGGAATATTTCTGGCAACAAAAGCTTGCTAGGCCAAAGTCGTGCTAGTGACAATGGCCCTTCATGTCACTGCCCTTAGATGTGGCGCGCGTTTGAAACAGCGGACCAAAAGGACATATATGCAGCATGGGACACTTGCAGGCTTGCGCTTGGGACTTCGAGGCCTACGTATGTCTCGAACAATGTGTTCATGACGTTATTGTTATTGTTTTGCGCTTGATGCTTTTCTTGCCTAGGGCGGAGCACATCTGTGGATGGCACTGGGAGCGCCGGATTGCTAGTGACAGTTGCTTTGCACTGTTCAGCTCTAGAGGTTCAAGCGTCACTGACACCGGATGACATGGCCTCCAACAGGTCGACCTGTTTCAGTCACACCCGGGCCAAAAAAAGGAGCAGAAGTGGACCTGGGCGAAGCAGGAGCAGAAGTAGGAGTAGGGGGTCTTACCTTACCTTCTGATGTTGGTGAGGATTTGTCTTTGTGGCTTAGCACGGCAAATCAACGGTACAAAGACCTGAAGATTGACTACGACGCCCTGATGGAGAAGTACCAGGCCTCGCGCTCGCTGCAGTTGATGACAGTGGACCTATACCACAAAGAACGCGTAAGTGCGCTCAACGAGCAAGAGGTGAAGTTCTCCAAGACAATTGCAGGGCGCGAAGAATTATGTTTGCAAACTAAAAGCCGACCTCGACAAAGCAGCTTCTGAAAAAGGCAGATGCTGACGCCAGCCACACCCACATCGTGCAGGAAAACCGGGACCTGCGCACCCAAATCCTTCAATCGCCTGTTACAAGCCCAGCTGAAGCCCCCACACGCCGGATGCGGCACCTTCAGACAGCCTAGTGCAAGGCACAGGTATCTTGCAAGATCTTCGAGGACGATGAGACCGACCAGGCACTTGAACACAGGGTCTCGAAGTTTTCGAATGACAGAAGGAAAAGAAGAAACGTATGCTTTGAATGTGGTTGCTGAAAAAGCTGCTCGAATCTCTTTTCACTTTCTTGTAATCTGTCACCTGACTGCACTTTGATGACGGCAAACTCCACTTTCTTGTATGCTGTTTAGCCGAGCCCTGGCCGCTCCAAGGTGCCATTGAATCATTGGTCCAGCGCATGCGCGCCTCCGCTTTTTGGTGACGAGTCGACGCTGAGAGAGTGTCTCCGGGACAGCGCGTGTTGGTCTTGGTATGTCTTCGTCCACACACAGAAAAGAGAACGAGAGGAAAAGAACGAGAGAGATCATCTAATCATCTTCCCGCGCGTACATGGACAAAACGCATTGGGGGGGCGCAGAGAACTTTCCTTTGAGGACCTTTTACAAAGATTCAAGGTTTTCACTCCACGGCGGCGGTGGTGTTGCAAGCATCGCCTGCGCCGCACAGAGACCGCGCATCGCATCGCCAGGGCAAAAGACGCACATGAGCTCCAATGGGAAGCTTGCCTTGAGCATCGATCCCGAGGATTCCCGTGATTTTGCCAGAAGTTGGCGGACCGGCGCACGCGCGCGGCTGGCTGGTCCGTTTTTGTTCACATTATTCTTTACTGGTGGGCGTTGGGTTTGTTGAGTTTGTGGGAGGCTTAAACACCCATTAGTCTCTCCATTTGGGGCTGGCTTTACTCCAGCCAGATGGATGCAAAAAATTACGAATGTGTTTTGCGCAGTGTTCACGAGGCAGATGTTTAATTAATTTGGGTCTAAGTGCGTTTTGCCAATAATGTTCATCAATACACAACTTAATTAATTAAGTCGCCCCACCAAACATATATAAATAGAGTTAAATGATGTTTTAAGTGGTTGCAGAGAGTCAAACCTAGAGTTGGAGAACCCGGGTTCCATCTATAAAGGGAAGCATGTTTGCAGACATAAACATGAGTGAGGGAGAAGGTTTCTGAAATTTTTGTCAAAAAACATCAACAAAGGAAGGCAATTGAACATGATGCCCAAAGGTGGTGTCCACTCGAAGCTGCGAGAGACCTCCTCGATTATCTCCGTGGTGACTCGACTCGAGTCTGCAGACCGACCCGACTCGGTGGCAAAGACCTTCAGCAGAGCAAGCAAATCAATGATGGACCCCCCAAACCTACACAATCGTGTTTTCAATGACCTTCGGATAATAAGGTACTTGCATCTCTAGGGATGGTTCAGCAAGTGTCCATTATATAGCCACCCCTTGTGGGTCCTGGTATAGGCTCCCAAAAAAATTGGATCCCTCTTTGCTAAAACAACCCAGTTTTCATCGTGGAACCCGCTGTGGAACCCTAGGGTGGCCTTTTGCTAATTGCCTGGTTGATAAGTAGAGGGGATACGCCCGGTGGTGAACAAGCAAATAGACCTGGCATCGACCCCTCTATTACCAAGTACCTGGACCCGACTTCAAGTACCTTCAAAAACGGGACATGAACCGAAGCAAACAACAGGTCATGTTGTACCCATGTTCCGAAGTACGAACCTCGGATGCTCCAGGATGGTCCAGGTGCGGACCGACCAAAACTGCCGCGCTGCAGGATCGCACCATGGACCAGATCGCCGTGTCACTGGGCATGGCCGTCGCCGTGCGAGCCTCCTCGGCACTTGGTTTTTTCCGCGCGGGCTGGGATGCTGGGTCCTTCGGATCTATTTGACATTCAGACACTCTATCCCTACAAGTCAATGAGCTGATTTTACTGGAGCTGTTCATACAAAAGCACTACTTAAGGAGGTAAAAGACCAGGTTTTACTGGGTCAGACTGGACTTGTGGAGCATGTATGTATGCCATATTTGCCTACTTTGGGTGGTTTGGGGGGTTCGGATGTGGATGGACCATGTCCTTTGTGGAGAGTCCCGAAATGCACCTGGACCCAAGACATGACCCCTATATTTTGATAGGAAAAATAGGAACCTGATCATGGGTGTGGCAGAACATGCAGTAGGAATCACAATGTCATGATGACATACGATGTCATGGGAAGTGTAGGATGTGTTCTTTCCACCGTGTTGCAGGGTGGCGTCATGTGGACCTCTCCATTTCTCACTCCACAAATCCAACGCAAGTCCCAAGCTTCCCAATAGGAAGTGGTTGATGAGTTGATGATGTTTTTTCTTGGTTTGACCAAGAGAGTATTTATATTGTTCAGGTCATTGCTAGGTTCGGACTTGCAAGACCCGTTGATTGATGGATTTGAGTTGACTCAATTGATGAGTTTTCTGCACATGCTGACTCAGATGGCTGACTTAGGATTGGAATCCCTAGAGGAAAAGATCGAGAATTTGCTGGAACAAGATTGGAAGGCACAACTCCCAGAGTTGAAGGAGCGTTTACCATCAATCAACCACCTCGAAGGTGGAGGAAATCCTTAAGACATCTTAAAACAACTCCTGTATTTTGTGCTGCCGCATTTCTTTTGGAGAGTTGTGCGTTTCATGGCGGTCCTGCACTTCAGAATTCGACCTTATTGGATCGATTTTTGGTTGAAGAGAAGCCTATTTAGTGGCCCAAACGAAACGAGTTTGCTGGTCAGCACCAGGAATCCACCGGTTTTCCCTTCTTATGGATCTAGAGCCTATATGGCAAGCAACCAGAAGTGCTTCACGTATGGCCATCAGGTTGGGCTGATATCTAATTCAACCACCTATTGGCCCAAGATGTCGAGTGAGACGGGAGCTGCAGAATCGTGAACCACCTATTAGCGTTCTTCCACCGGTTCCACCGGTGTTGCATGGTGAACTCATGGAACTCATGGTGAACCCATGCCGCTTAAATGACACCTTCATTCTCAAAATTATCTTTCTGAAGTTCTGTATATTCTTCGTTAAATGTTGAGTGAAGCACCCTTTCAAGACAATGCAATGCACCTTCACTCTCAGCGAAATTGAACTTAAGACACATTTGCTGGTGAGCACCAGGTCTTCGCACCAGGTCTTCATATGTCATCATCCACCAGATCCAACATGGTCCAACAATTTCAATCGATGTCGATGTTAAGCGTGTGTAGCTCACATAGGGAGACCTTCCCCAAAAAACATCAATGGAGAAGGAACATAGACCAGTCTACCCAGCCAGGGCATGCCAGGGCCAGGCGTTGTTGTTTCTGCATGAAACTACACACCCACATGTTGGTTCCCATTGGGTGGACCCAAAAACCGCTGCTGCCGACCTCATAGGGTTTGCCTGGACGTGCGTCCAGGCACTGGAGCGACTGGTGAAGCGTTTGGAAGACCCCTGGTACTTGATGGTGAGCCTGAAAGACGTCTCACATCGGATTTTCAAGCTCCTTGGCTGAGACTGATCGACTTCCGGCCGTGTCTCCCAAGACGTTCTCTGCAAGAGAAACCCAGGTTCTTTACAGCAACTGGGATCCACAGATTCTCCATCTCAGCTTTACTGTTTCCCTAGTGCTCAGAAGGTGATTGGAGTCACTGTTATGTAGGTTTGGAGGGTCTAGTCATACCTTCTGAGGTTCGGTACAACTGGATCCATAGGGTTTGGAATTCCTCCATCGACATCCTGCGCCATTGGTACATCCCAAATCCATCCAGGCAATATGTATATATAAATTGAAGGACTTGGCAATGGGGAGTCAATGGTCATGAACAGGTGTTTTGTCCTAACAAAGGCGTGCTCAGTGCTCGTGTTTTGAGATGGTGACGTATCCCTTCGTTTTGCAAGACTAACATCAGATGATACATATGTACTATTATGTCGTACTATAATGATGATCAAGTTTCGATCGACATACCATAGATCATAGCTGCTCGCTGCCGACCTATGACCTATATGGATTACCAGTCATCGGTTCTGGTGTTGGTTTGCTTTCCCAGAACTTCCCTTTTGACTCATGAACTACCCCACCTGAAAAGTCGTCCACCGCAATCACTCCCCTGTCCTACCCCGGAGTCAGATCGTCGGGGTCGGACTCGGTACGGGTCCTCACGTACCTCTCATCGGCAGGTACGAGCACATGATCCACAAGTTGCGTTACGAGCTCAACGCCGAAGCGGGTCTGCTGGACTCGCCCGTGGCCTGGACGGAGACGACGACGGCGACAGACGGAGCGCTGCGGATGGTGCGGACGGAGGGTTCATCAGGGAGTGAAAAGAATCCTGCACTGGTGGTGGTTCCCATGGCATTCTTGGAAGATTTTTCAAGTGCCTGCAGAGTCCTGAATGCAAAAAAAAAGTACCACATACTTTGGCATGCTGCGGGTATCCCAATGCCTACCCTAAAGCCGACTATCGGAAGGTACACAACATGGACCAAGGTACCAAGCCACCCATTTCGATAGGCAGAGCTGGTTTTTGGACCGTTGGAGCATCTTGGTTTGAAGGGTTTGCTGTTGGCCAGGAAGAAGATGGCCATAGCGGCCATATATCCATTTTTCAATGTGATTAATTGAACTATAGGTGCCACGTTCATCTGATCATCTCACGCCAAACATTAGCTGAACAGCATCAGCACTACCCCATGCTACTCCATTTATTCGCAATGAACAGACATGTCTTGCTCCGGACCGACCGAAGAACAGTGGCCGGTTCCTCGTGCGGCGTCCGACCCAAATCTCCCAAGCGGCGTGGCGACGCTGGACGATCATGCGACCTAATCATGGGCACCCATAGATCCTGTGAAGGTTAGAGGAGCTCATGAGGGGAACAGCCGAGCCCTGACTTCAGCTATCTTCAGCTCTGTGCCAACTTTTTCGCACTTGAGGATCTTTTATGGGAGAATGCCACGGCGGAGAAGCTGCATGATAAGGCCGTGCTGCTCGCTGCGCGGAGGACCTGCAAGGAAGACTTGATACTACAAATCCCAAACACTCCATGTATGTCATATCTGCCTACATTGACCCCCAAAACCACCCCAATGTGGGCAAATATGCCATATATGGAGTGTCTGGGAATTGTTGTGTGTCAAATATTAAATAACGAGTACGTATCCTCAGTGAATCCTCAGACCCTCCACTCTGAGCTCCTAAGGTTTGACCCAAATCCGGAACCCACCGAACCGGCCACCGTGACATGTGATAACGCATGATAAAGCCTACCCAACCAGTGGCTAACCATGGCTAACCTCTATGACCTTTTTTCAGGATTTTCAGGGATTTTCTTGCCAAACATGAATTTGGTTTGAACAGGTTCAGGCACTTTCCACAGAACTGAGGGATTTGCGCAATGGCCAATATACCGATGCGAGGGGTCGTTGTGCATGTTTCTGTTTGTATGTGACTATGTCGGCCGCATGAAAGTCAGGGTAACTCTGTCTAAAGGTCTTCGGTGTGACTCCGTCCGTGTGTTCTTTCCTTTTTTTTGACAAGGTCTACATCAACTGCATACATGATCTACATGAGTTTGTTCACACCACGGTGGATGCCATGTCCAATTGTGGTATATTCTCTTCCATACTGATGAAGGTTTTCAGTTCGCTTCTGTTCGTCATGGTGCTCCTGTTTGTCGTCGTAGCGGAAGAAGTCTGGAGTTGCATCCACCACGTGCATTCACCACGTCGCGAGTCCCGCCGGGCCGCCCAGGTGGTGGCCCACTTCGATGTGCGGCGGCGAACGGAGGTGCTGAACCAACGGCTGAGCCTTGGACCTGAGCCCGGCGGGCTGAGCCGTGATTTGGGGAGAAAAAAAACTGAACAAGTCATATCCCCAGACACGACACGAGACATGGGACTGCCATATATACCTATACAATCCTATACATGCATTGACCCCTCTGGCACCACCACCCCAACTGATCGGCATATATGGCCCCATGTGTTGTGTCTGGGAGATGCAAGGCCACGACTCGACTCGAACATGTGTCGATCCGCTAGCTTCTGGGTGAAAAACGACGGCGCCTCGGCACAGTACGTCGAGGTTTTCTTAGACGTCTCATCAGCTCCTGGTGCAAACAGAACTATTTATGTTTTTCCCACCGGTGAATCTGCCGGTCCAGACCAACGCCTCCTTCTCTCTCTCTCAGCCCGGATGAAGCTCCGACGCCCGTTGAGGAGCTACTCTTTGGACTACCTTCACACCTTGGGAGAACATGTGAGGCCCGTTGAGTCTAACACTCTCGCGGCTCTCGCGTGCGTTATCCCGTGCGGCTCTCTCCCTAGGTTTCGGGGAAAAAACCCGGTGTGTGCGGTGTTTGTGGCGGGACCTGTTGAATCCCAACACACGTGACACCAAAGCCTGGTGTTAAGGCAGAGTTTTTGCCATTGAGGTTGAAGTTTCGGAACTTGACGTCAATTCTTGGGCCTCGGTAGGAAACCTGTTGTAAATGTTGCCTTGGATGCAAGATGATGCAATTGACAAAATGATGTAGACAGATAGGACGACCCGTGACCTGGAGGTGTTTCTTGGATAATCACCGTTCGACATTTCGCTCGCTGGACTCCGCCCAACTCCATGCTTTCCCTCGGACTCGGGATCACGCAAATTCACACAGAAGGACGTCATTGCCAGGGCAGCCAGGGCTCAGGATCACAAAGCCAACCTTTGGTCTCTCCTCCGCAGGTTCCGGATCGTCTTCTCTGCCATGGGCAAATGCAAACTCAAAAGCAATCAGTTGCTCTTCTGAGCCTGGGATAGATGGTAGTCACAACACGTCGCAACTATTGATGTTTCATTCATGGGAATGAAAGGCCCATTGGCGCAACTGTTTAAATTTAAAGCATTCATTGTTCCCTCCTGAGATGTCGAGGGTTCACCAAAACAGCACTAGAGTGGCTGAGACATTACTCACTGAACCCCGTGAACCCCGTTCCCTATAGGCATGTAGAGTAATTAGTTCACGTGCTCTTCACAGTTCGAGATAGGACAGTTCCTTGACCCGGTGCACCTGGGCAAGGTTTTCTCTTTCCTTCGTTGTCAACTTCTTGTGGTCCCCATGTCGTTGAAGGGAGGCTTCTATATACCTATAGCCTATAGATCTATAAACCAACAAAAAGGACGCTAAAAACGCGTCTCCTGGCATGGCTACTAGTAACAAGAAGCTACGAACCGGGCTCCTGGCATCGCTTCCACATATAATCGAAGCATGACTTCATCGAACCACCGGAGTGGTTCGTCAGGCACCTCCATTCGGTTCGCCTGGAGAGGCGGGAGACGGACCTTTTGGCGGTGTAAGGCGCCGCGAACGGCGCCTCCACTCGAGCTGGGGGTGTTCAACAAACATTCAGTCGAAGGCCAATCAAGTCTTTTGAGGCAGCCAGGTTTTGCGGGTGTGGTTGTTGCTGTTGTTGTTGTTGTTGGTACTTTATGCGACTTTGGCATGGTGAAACAACTACATGCAATGCCATCACACCCGCAAAACGTGCAATGGTTTCTTTGGACCTATCCCCCTTGCACCGGTACATCCCCAAGCGCCTCTCCAAACCCTTTCTCAGGAGCCGATGAGAATATGATAGACGTGTCGTTCGGAACGCTCGGAAGTGAGGTGGGTACTACTCCTAAGCCAGCCAAGCTCTTCAAATCCCTGAAAAAAGTGTTTGAGAATATGGTGCTCGGCGTGTATGAGAATCCTTGTGGGACAATCCATGAAAATCACAGGATGGCTCGTCTTGAGTAGGAATCGGTAGGTTTGGCTTGCAAGTGGGTCTTTGTGCACATCGCCCAATCCGCATAGGCCATACCAATGGCGTTGTTGATTCCTGTCCCAGGTGAATGATACAGGGACACCCCTACGTGCGCAAGAAATTCCAATGTGCAACCCCCAGCAAATTCTACAGTTTCCTCGATCAAGTGGTATAATACAGGTTGACAAGTCCACATTGTGGGCCCGAACACCTCTGTGTTTGTCGGACATGGAACTGGCGATCGAAGGGGGTCACCAGAATGTCTTGTTTCTCTTCGTTGGAACAGGTCTTTGGGGATCAGACGCCTTATGAGCTGAGGTCTGTCTTTCAGTCCTGCGCATGCCTGCGGTGCAGGGCTGTTTCTCGACACTTACTGTAATGTCTTGAAAAGCAGCTGAAGACCAGGGTGAAAAAAGCCATGACCGTGTCAGCTTTTTCTGCCTGCGGATGCCTGCGGTGCAGGATGATCATCATCCTCATCACCCTGGAGTTGGGGGCTGCTTGGCTGCGGATGAAACAGTTTTTCAAGGTGACGTGGTTGGTCATGACATGTTGGAAGATCGTTTTCCCCTGTACACACGCAGCGCTCCGTCGGCAGGGAGAGTAAACATGAGTATACGACTAGTGATGCTCTGGTTTGGGACGGACGGAGGGGTTTCTACTACCAAGCTTTTATTCAATATTACTAAATTAGGCTATTAGACCATCTGCTTCGCTAGATTATATACACTCATGCCCAGACTGAGTCTCTCTCCCGGTCTGAACATTCCCTGATCTCCCGAGACCAGCGGAGACCCGTTCGCCCGACACGGCCCGACACGACACGAAACGGCCCACACCGCAGCGGTCACGTTCGCCGCCAGGTGGGCATCATGGGCCTCTCTCCAAATCTGGCGAGTTGGCCGAGCCTGGCGAGGGGACCAACAGGGGGACCGGTACGGACCGGTTGGGGTGGGACGGTCAGGCGGTCCAGAGAGAGGTGGAATGTCACCTGCAAACTACGGATGTTCATAGTTGGATGCTTGTGTATGTGTATTTCTCTTACGTGAGAACCACAATGGTTTTGATGTGAGACGGTGTCCTTTGGGGTGAGTTGTGGTTTGCACGCGAGACTAGCCATTTGGCTCGCTGCACCTTGCTGAGTGTAGGGGCCAGTCGAATGAAGTCGCAAAGTCATGTCCTGCCTACGTTTCCAAACGTGTTCGTTTGTTTGTCTCAACATGGAAGTGGATGGCACAGCCCTGAAAGGATGACGTTGTTCTTTTTGTGAAGGGCCATCCTCGGCACCACCGTCCTCGACACATGTGTTCCTCGGGAGTAGGACGAAATCCGAGATCGGCTACGGAGTACTTCAGACGAAAGGCCTAATCCTTCAAGGGCGTTCAACCAAGAACACATCAAGAACAGCTGAAGTCCCTCCATTGTGCTAGCTCATCCTCCCTAATCCTCGCGCAGTGGGTCGAAACCAGCTGGTTTTGGGAGGATCTTGAACACATCAGCAGTACATTGTGAGTTCATCCCGGACGTTCCGAGCGATGATTTTCTCAAGACCTTCGTTCCATGGGACGAAGCGCCATCCGACAAGGTCCTGGCCCAGCATGGACTGCGGCTCGGGCTCAGTTGGGGGTTGGAGTCCTTTTTGAGGGGTAACAGTAACAGCAAGGAACCTCTGAGTGAGTCTGTGCCCAGGATGTCAGAGGTTGACGGATCAATATTGTCAGGTGTTGATGATTCTGTTTGATCGATTACATTTCACAAGCATATTATATGGGAAGTGCATAGTTTTGCTTTGTATTTTGGTTGTCGCGGGGTTTGGATGGTTTTGGTGTCCTCCACTCAAGCCAGTCATAGTTTGCGGTCAAGCCCTGGGCTGTGACAGCAAAGAAGGGGGCCTCCCCTTCATCAGTCTCACCAGCGGCTTCCCAGAGAAATGGTGGACTTTACCCAGAGCTGTGGTTGGCTCTGGGTATACATTTGACAACTTAAAGAGTATGAGAAAATACTTTTGGTTCTGTCTGTCTTTGCATCACAGACAAGAGTATGTATACATTTGATGTAAAGACAGATACAATTTTGCATCAAAAAAAACTTCTCAGCCTTTTAGGAGCCAAGCTGCAGTGGCCTGTCCAAATAGACTGAAAGCCACTGGGAAGCTGTCCCTGCCATCAATTTTTTTTCGCATTCACGTGTTTCGCCAAGGAGCTCCAAGAACCTGCATCCTTATGAGGGTTTACCTACGGCATTGAAGCTTATATAGGGTTCAGGAGTTTCTCGCATATGTGAAGATGTTAGTTAAACCCTGATCATCCAATTAGTGGAGACAGTTAAACGGACGTGACCTGATGTTAGGAATTTACGAGTCGGTTGAAGAAATCATCCATTGATTGAACCATGGATTAAACCATATATACCAGCTGCTTCCAACGGGTCACCAATGGATAGGTCTCCATTGGGCACCCATTGGAAGTGCTAGGTATCCATATATTTGTACAGAGGTCTGAGATGTTGTTTCCTTCTCAGCTTGTGTGAGATCATCTAGGATATGGTGGTCAAACGCGGGACACTTGCACTTAGTTGACTTCTTGCAATCGATGCATATGAGCTTGTAGCCATAATTCATGGCCTTGCATGGTTTGATACTATCTTCCATGATGTCTTCTTTGGTGTATATATATATATACATTCCTCTTGTAGATTACCATGGACCCCCCCAACCCGCCAGGTGTAGATGAGATTAGTCTTAACGAGGTCCATGTTCACAGTCTATGTTCGTTTTGGAGGGAGAGAAGAACTCTCCAGGCCCAGTTCTGGGACACCTGAGCTCTAAAACTCTCGTGATCAAGAATTTCCGCGGCTGAGGTTCTAGCATTCCTCTCCTCAGCGAAGCGACAGAACACTGGAAGGCCTACGGAACAGGGGACATTCCGCCCTCTTTGGTGCCCGACCACCAAAGAGGAAGGCGTGCAGAGAAAAGCCTTAAAGCGGGTGTCTCACCATAACAAGCCGATTCCTTCAGCACCCTGAGTGGAAGTGAAGAACATACCAAAGTACACGTTGAATATCGTTGAAACATCGTTTGGGTCGTAGCTGAGTGGCTTCCCTGACATGTGTTTCTTCGATCTATTCCTGCCCCTATAGAAGTCCAATCTTTTGCTCTGCTGAAGTTCCAGGAATTTAGACTCGTGTCCTCTCTAAAGACCAGGACTCCCAATAACTATAGGTCTTCACCGCATCACCAGTTCTCCACTCCGGCTTCCCAAAGGAGTGCCACGCCAACCGTGGTCGCGGTGTTTCTCCGGGTTTCACCGGTTTGGTGACCGCTGAGACCAGGAGGGCTTTCCCTCCGGTGCTGCCGGAGTGGAAACCGCTTCCAGCTTGCTTCGGTTTCGCAGAGGAAAAAGACAGCAACAGAGCATTGGGAAAATGGGAACCTCATGCGTGCACGCACAAGCGAAAGTAACACATCGGTGCTGCATGTCTACCTTCCAAGCCTTCGCGCAAGAGCAGCACCCGAGAACGGTCTAAGACGGACAAAAACCACCTTGACCAAGGGCTTGTACTGAAGTAGATAGGTCTTTCCGCCGAGGCGCCTGCAGTTCACAGAGAAACACTATACCCCGGACCTCGAGTTTTTCGTCATCCTCTCCGAGCTTTGCGCCATGGACGACGGTCCACCCTAGACCATAGAGATAGAGAGGCAAGAGCCGGATGTCGAAGCCGGTTAAGAAAGCAATCCAATCCAACAAGTTTTTGCGAGTTGTATACATTGAGGCTATTAGCCAAGGCCTGAGGCACCAGCCAACGAAGTGGGTCTGGATGGTGCATCAATGTCGCAGGTACACGCTTTTAGGACCAATTGACACAGTGAACCAACACTGAAAAGATGTGGATGTGGAGCTTCACGCCTAAGTGAGTTGGGCGGTGAGGGTTTGAATGCGTTATAGTGGGAGTGAGAGAGTTAAAAAGGACAATGTAAGTCGATGGCTTTCGCGTTCGTCCTGCCACTCGCGGCGCTCGCGCTGGCACTCGCTGCGACGTGGAGACTCACACGGGGCGCCGTTCGTGGTCCGGAGGTCGGCCACGAACTTCGTGGCATTCGGGTGTTCTCCTACTTATGTGTGCTCTCAGATGTGTTTGCTCTCGGCCCACTCCCTCTTGCGGCTTGCTTTCTCGTGTGTTCTGTCATATTTGGATGTGCATCAATCTGATTCAATCTGTATTCTCATTCGTGTGCTTTCTTATGTGCACGTGCTTTCATACATGTCCTCCCCAGGCTGTGGATCCAAATGGTGTTTGCTTGCTTGCAATGGGGCAACTCCTGCCGGCAAAAGCTGGAGTGAAAATTACAATAAAAAATGTCTCGAGTTTCAGACCATTGTCACTTGTGACTTGCACCAGCTACCCTAGCAACACTTTCTCTCGAGAAACCAAAGCGATTTTATCATTGACGTCATTTTCTCAGCGCAAATTTCCCACATTCGGCATGTGGTTGTGAGCGGGTGTCTTCACTCTGCAGAACTTTGCAGGGCTTCAAATTTCAATCTCATTGACTGTGGACGCAACAACAGTGCATGAGGGTATACAAGCAAAGTTCCAGTGTTTGGAGATTCAATACTAATGGTACATGATATCACTGATTTTGCAGTAGAGTTCAGACATCGCCTTGTTCTTTTTTTAAGGTACCAGCAGAACGCCACGCCCACCCAGGCAGAGCCAGACCGAAATAACATGAAATAACGAAGCGCCAGTCAACCGTTTTCCATGAGAACCAAGCCGACCACTGCGCCGTTGACTGGGCGGCGCTGACTCTGTTGACCATTCCACTGGTTTGAGCTATGGATGGCCAACTGCGCTTGCCCGGCTTGCCCTTGGCCGGTGCGCTGAAGACAGACACCATCGGAGCGATGTGTGGGATCGGAACCAATCCACGGGAAGAAGCCTCAAGAATCCAGAACCAGGAGCTATGTTCGCTTCGCATCCGATCGCTCCGTTCGTTTTCCGATGCCCTTTGTTACTACTAGCTTCTTGCTACTAGTAATGCCAGGAGCGGCTGAAAGCGGATGATTTTGTGGATTTTTGTGGAAAGGTTGGGTGTTGAAATGTGTTGAATGCTCGCAGATGGGTCTTGAAACCCTTGGCCAACCAACTACGTCTACCGCTTGCTTCAAGCTGGCAGAGGGGGCCCACCCCAAAGGTGAGTGAAACCAATTGAATAAGCGCGAAAACATGCGAAACAAGTTTACTATCCATGTGGACCCTCCTACAAGTGCCTGATGATAAGTGCTGATGCCGACCCGCGATTAATACACAACTCTGAATGAAAGCAAATGGACTGCGCTCAGAAAGCCCTACTCAAAAAAGATAGGTTGGAGATTCTATTTTAAGTGTTCGTTTGAGAAGCGGGCCCCCAGCAGACTATGGTGATACAGCAATGCAGAGCTAGATTGGCGCTAGGTTGGCGCGAGATTTCTTCATAACAAGAGAAGCAAGCAGGAAAAAGAAGAAACAAGCAGAGAGCGGGAAAAGGAAGAAGAAGCAAGACAAGAAGAAGGAAAAACAAACAATAAGAAGAAGCATAATAAGAAGAAAAAGAAGAAGAAGAAGAATCAGAATGCACAACAAGAAGAAGACAAGCAATCAGGAGAAAAAAATCTGACAGAATAAAGAAATCGACGGATATTTAGCGCTAGGCTGGCGCTAGATCCACGCTAGCACCGCGCTAGACGACGGTCCATTTCTTGACCACCTGCCCATCCAACATCCAAATCTCTTGAGTCAACGCTAACGTCCTTCCTAAGTCGTTCTGAAGACTTCTGAGAACAAAAATTGGAAACAACTGCAGAAGTCCAGCAGCAGCAGCAGCAGCAGCTCAACAGGCCCCTGAAAAGGTCCGCGCTGGACACCTCTCACAGTTTTTGCAGTTGATATGCCATCATGTTTAACATCTCTGTGGTTGCGGTTTGAGTGTGGCGGGACTTTAAAGGAGACTTAGAAGCGGGCCCCCATGGAATTGCGATGGGTGCACCATTTTGGGAAAAGACATTTTGGAAACCAACCAAATGTTTTCTCCAGACCGAATCATAAACAGTGTGCTATTAGTTTTTTGGGTCTGTGACATACTACCAACTTCTCAACTCCCTTTTCCCACAATGCCAACAAACTTTGTTGATCCCCTTTCAGGTCCCTTTCAACTATAAAATTCCCACAATCACAATGCCAAACCTTTGCCAACACTCGGCAAATAAGTAGTAACTTTTGGTTTGATTTTGGCGTGCTGCCGTTTTTGTTTGTGCATGGTACGAATGGGACGGTCCAGACAATCGGGGCCAGTACAGTTGGTATCCGCTTAACCTAATGCGATGGCCTCCAACCTAGAAGCGACGGCCTCCAACCTAGAAGCGATGGCCTCCAACCTAGAAGCGATGGCCTCCAATCTCGAAGCGATGGCCTCCAACAGCGATGGCCTCCAACCGACAAACGAACCCAGGCAAAAAAATCGACCGGTGCTGCCGGTGCTTTTGAAATCCAAGCTGTGCATTGGTGTTCTTGTGGCAGTTCGCTCCGCTTTGGAAACACCGAAAAGTCTTGAACTTCTAGGAACAGTCGCTGTTGGTCGTTTAGACATCAGACATGAGGTGGTGGTGCCAGTGCCAGTTCCTCTTCGAAGGACTAATGTGGGAAGATGGCCAGGAAGGAGTGTTTTCCAAATGACTTCAAAGGACTTATTGATGCAGACGTAGTATGCAGTGTTACTGATCATTTGCAGGTTCCAGAAACGTTCCCAGGTTCCGGTCAGGTTCAGTTGAACATTTGGAGACTTCAGGGAACCATACCGACTTGCAGATCTTTGCGCCGGGGAGGTTTCAGATCTTTCAGAGTCGAAGCGAATGAGTTTCCGTCCACCGTTGGTCCAGTTGCAAGGGCTTCTGTTCAACTGCGGTTGCGGGATGCGAAGAATTTCGACATGGGTATGCATTAGAATAGGGAGGCCTCCCCAAAGAAAGGAAATAGACCAGTCTACCCAGCCAGGGCCAGGGGATCTCCCAATGACACACAGATCGATGGATTAGTGGGCGTTTGAACCGCTACTCGAGTCAGATTCGAAGAGTTTAAACCGACGCTGGACGAAAGGGAGCCAAGAGTTCGGGGGCGGGGTCTGGCAGTTTTCAGGTTTGTTTCCAAGGTTGTTTGCAGAATCAGCGCCTTTTCGGGACCTTCAGGTTTGTTTCCTTTGAATATATCACTGGGGGAACAGGAGAGCTTTCCCAAAGTACTCCAGCACTGCAAAAGCGAATCGCGAGGCCGGATCCAGGTGCCCGGCGGCATCTCCAAAACGAGTCATGAAGATCTGAAAAACAAGTCAAAACGAGTCGTGGAGTTTGTTTGCCGGAGAAAATGGATCCATTAAGTTTGGATCTTCAAACTTAATGGATCTGTTTAACTTTTGGAGTTTTTTAAGTTTGAAGATCAGAAAAACCTTCCAAAAAGCTCCACAGATGTGTCTTTGGGAGGAGCCGCCGCCTGACGAGCCAGAGTCTTTGGCAGCATGGGGTGGTTCACGCGGGTTCGATGCAGGCTGCTGCGCCTGCTGTGCTTGCTGTGCCTGCTGTGCCCTGCTCATGTCAGTTGTACCTTGTCCATGACATGTGCGGAGTAAGCATTTGAATCCACTGGGTGACCCAGTGGCTTGGATCCAAATGTTGCATCAATACCCTGCAGAATTCAGGCCCAGAATTTGTGTGTGTGACCTCCGTTGGTGATCTCCGAGGATGCCAGCATCGATGATTTGTTAAAGCTCATCGAAGATGGCCCTGGCGCCAGGCCAGGAGCCGAAGGAGCAGAGCTTCGTCTCGCATTTGACTGTACACACTCATGTAGCAAGGATGCTACTAGTAGCTCCTGGCCTTACTACTAGCAACAAGAAGCCACTAGAAGCAAAGGACATCGCTACTATAGGAGCAAAGACGCTCCTCGCCACACTCATGATACATTTCTTTTCCGACTCTCAACTGTGATCGTTTCCGCAGATCGCCTGGCATGCCGTCGCTTTTCGTTGGAAACGCGTGAAAAGCGATCCGGACGATCCGAACGGTGTGGACCGCGGATCTTTCTCGGCCGCGCAGGGACCAAGATGTGGATGAACTTCTGCAATCCTTGCAGCCCAAGGAAGGCACATGTCGTCCGGTGGATGCGGAGCAGATGCGGATTCGGTGGTTTCGATCATCGATCGATTCTGCGAAATGGCCGAGTGGAATTGTGCAGCGTAGTTTGCTCCTTGAAATACTGGAGAAGTTTTGCACCAAAAGCATCCAAAAGCTTATATATATATACACACTCTTCTTGTTCTAGTGCAAAAGAAGTGGCCAGAAAGAGGCACATGTGCTCACCAGCCATTGGCTATGGGCTTTGAGACTTAACTTGTCCTTCCGTTCGACCATAAATGAAAGGATGACTTGGATTTTATGGTCTAAAATCCTCCAAACATGTTAAGAATGTTTGGCACGCGCTGAGCTGAGAAATCAATGGTTGGAATCCTAGGGCTCATATGGGTTCATTCTCCTTTGCTTGTTGATTCAACAAGCATTGTTGCTCTCGGCCACAGGCTCGTAGCGATCACAGCCATGAGATATGTCGACAGCCAGGAGGATGACGGTCATCCGGCACATGGCACCGTTGGGTGCATCTCTCAGCAGGGCCAGGGCATGCCAGCCCCCCCCAGAACCACTACTCAACAGCATTTGTTGATGAAGTTCAATGACTGCAAAGATGAGATTTGATCTGAAAGAACGAGGTGTTTGTTTGGGTGTTGCATGGCATTGCACCATGAAATGCTGAGCAAGACATGTCTCCTTAGTTTGTTTGTTTGACCATGTTTGTCAAAGAAAAAACACCAAGGCCCCGAATATCCGGCTTCACCAAAAAGCTCTTTCCCGAAAGAGCGAGAAGACAACAGCAGTTCCAGATCTTCATTGCCTGCCCCTGGCTGCTTCAAGCCATAAACAGAAACACCTTCTGCCCCTGGCCATGCCGCTTCCCGCGGTGCTGGGCAGCTGTGTAGTCACTGGGTGGCAAGAATCGATGTGCTGTGCGGCGTTAGTATGGATGGATGGAGAAGCTATGGATTTCGCTTGTCAATTCTGTTCTTCTGTTTCTGATGTTGACTTAGGGGGAACCCTGATCAAACAGTTTGCACCGCGTCCTGTGTGGACTTAGTCATCTTGTTTGCGTCCTCTTGAAGTTCTAAAGGTGAGACCTTCTCATTCAGCCAACCGTTTCCTCGAGACCTGCTTTAAGAATCCACCGGGATCCCAGTGGGGGTGCGCCACAGATGGAGGCCTGATCCCGTGGTCCAAGCCTGTCCAAGCCATCAGGAAGGGCAGTTCTTTGGCCAGTTTGAGCACCACCTGAACAGGCATGAATTGCCTTCACCACCTCACGGTTTAGCGTGGAGATCGTATATCATCGTACATCGTCACATCCCGCTTCATCTCCTGTTTCAAAACGAGATCTTCAATCCAGGTCAACCAAAGGATACGAGATGAAGCTTCCAGGAATGCTTTGTCAGTGAAGTGGGACCAAAAGGAAACAACATCAGGAACTCTCCTAATTTGCGCTAATTTGTGTGAAAAAAACGATGGTTTTTTCGAGGAGGTCACGAAAAGAGCCCCACCCGTCCTCATGCCGATCCTCACGGCGAGTCACACCGAGGATGCCATCAACAATCGGCTCGAAGAGCTTGTGTGACTTGACTTCTGATTTGTCCCGACTGAAGAAAACAGGACACCCCCAGTGTAACAGCAATGCTTTCTAGTATTCGAGTGTTCCAGATTTCAGGGTTGATGTCTTTCGATTCGCAGGGGTGGCACGCTTGGATTCCACACGGAAACTGCCCAAATCCATGAATCAAGAAGGATATCCCACTCAACAACACCCTGCCCCCACCAACGTCTGAAGACACATTCCTGTTGTGAAGCGGACGTTGCCGATGGATCAATGAGAGCGTGCGCCCAAGCATCTCTCAGCCGTCATGTTCCCCGAGTTCAACAAGCGCCTTGGCTCCCCCAGTGCACCTACAGACCCACCACCTTGCCACCATTCGGATTCCCGCAAGCGGACCGAGAGCTTCAGCCCATGAGAAGAGGACAATCCAAAGTAACAAGCGACCCACAAAGCAACCCCCTTTCACATCCTTCATCCATCTTCATCCTTCACATCCGAAACGTCCTCGATTGCAGACTTCATCTTTTTGGAACACGGATCCGTCCAGAACAGATGAATCCGGATCTAGGTGCCATTGCAAGCAGCTGCATGGTCAGAATCAATCCTTGGAGATGGAGAATGCATCCTTGTGCCATGTCCGCAAGCTGAGGGCATGTTTGGGCTGTCTTTACGGCTTGTGCTAGGCCGGCCTACTAGGGCTAGTGGGCTGACAGCCACCGTTTCGGTGGGAGGAACGAACAGTTATGGGTCACCCAGTGGGACACCCCAATGACAAGTTCCAACATGAGGCTTGCCTGGCAACGTAGAACAAGTGGGGAAGGCTTGTGGCACACGGCGGCTGTGTGCAGAGACCGGGAGGGAGATCTATTTTGCATTTCGCAAATGTGTTGTCTTCATTGACTGGTGGCAGATGGTTGCAATGTGGATGTTCGATTTTGAATGGAATTAGTTTTTTGCATGTTCAGTGCAGTAGATGTTACCGGAAACCATTGTGGACCAACCAAAACATCAGCAGCATGATTGTTCATAATGTTTCAGGCTAAGGGTGTTAAGGGGCGCCGAACCTTTTTTATTGCCGGTTTCGTGAAATACTGGCGAGATAGAACACACCTTCATCCCTGGGGTGGTAGTTATCCAGCCCAGATAGCTAATGAGGTCAAAGAGATTTGGCTTTGGGGTAATTCTTCATGTGCCTGCTAAGCTCGCGAACAGTTCCAGGGAATAAAGACTAAATCTACTGAATCTACCAAACTGAGCGAACGCGGATGGTTGAGATATGTTGAGATGCTCAGTATAAGAACAGGTCAGGTCCCTTGAAGAAAAGAACTACAAATTGTGATTCTTGGATTTGAGCTTTGCTCTTAGGATCCCAATTTGTGTAATGCAAAGTGACCCGGGTCGTGACTCATCGTCTTCTCGCCTGAACAACAATGCAGCTTCTTATTGGTCGAAGCACTCCTCGAAAGCCAGGTGGAAGCTGGTACCCCCCCCGGAAGGTCAGTGTGCCACGATGTGGGAGAGGTCCTCTTCGATCTTCAATGAAAGTGACCTCTTTGTTCATCTGTAAGTGACCTCTTTATGGACGATTCGTGACCAAAAGGTCTGGGATCTCAAGTTCGGTCACGAACTGAAGGTCCTGAGTTATTTCGGAATAGATGGCACAAACCCCAAGATGTCTTTTCAAAGTGGGCGTCCATCTAAACTCTTGCGATTGTGCCATCTACTCTCAATCCGCTATAAGTGGTTTTTTGATGTGAAGGTTATCCCTGCCCCACTCAGAAACTGCCCAAACAATCCCCTGCCCTGCTTCAAGGCCGCTGTCCACCATAGTTCCCGTTCTTGGGATTCTTGGGCAATGTTTTTCTCAAACTGACATTGTCCTTCGACCATTTCAGTAAAGAAGATCGCAGAATTCGTCCAACAAACGTTCTCCTGCACTAGTCCTGCACCTTTTTGGAGGAAACAGGAAACGTTGCTGCGCCCAGAACCGCGTCTCGCGTCGACGTCGTGCTCAGAGACGTAACTCGTGCCGCGAACACGCAGCTGTTCATCGCAGCCGACTCGCGTGAGGCGATTGAAGTTGGCATCTGTGGGAGAAGAGAGGATCCCGGTACCTCGGAGGAACGGGTTCGCGGAGGGAGGGATGGGCCTGGGAGCGAAGAAAGGCGAAGAAGGGTGAAGAGAGAGATAGCTTGGGGATGTGAAAGAGGGGAGAAGGAGGGTTTGTAAAGAGTTCTGACATCAATACCTGACACAGTATGTTTTCAGAAGTTCTCAATGATGTTAAAGACATTTAAAGACTAGTTATAGGATGCTAGGGCAGAAAGTGTCAACTGCAGCCATGTAAAAGCACCAGGTCCAGGGCACCTCAAACTTGGGCCTCCGAGAAAAGAACCGTTAGCAATGCTAGCACAAATAAACCATTATATATAAAACAAAACTCTTCCCAAAGTTGTCTCTTCATCCACCCAGTCAGCGGCTCCTCCACCTCGCTTCCTGAAACAGGAGAGGGTTCCTTTCCCCACTGACCGCTTCCCACCGTCCCTGGCGCCCCGCGCGGAACTCCGAGTTGACTCGGACCGAAAGCGACAGTTCGTCCGACGGCCAACACGGCGCACGAGCCATTGGCGAGAGGCGTTGAGGGGCGTTGGCGAGATGCTTTTTTGAGGCCAAGGATATTTGTCCCACACAGAAACCTGAACTGTAGCAGCAACTGGTATTAAAGTTATAAACTTGTGTCAGTTGTTCTTTCTATCACTGTAACTGCCAAGACAATCCAAATTGCTACAATGAGGTGAGTGGAGGGGACAGATTTCACATGATTTGACCCATACCCAGCTTTCTACACTCAGCTGAACGAAAGTATACCTCATGTCAAATGCCTACTTATTGGTTGAAGTGGGCCAAAGCATATACCCTTCCCACATACATTCCAAATATTTATAGATAAGATAAGGTCGCAAGCGATGACGTTCAGTACGTTCACCTCCGTTGTTGTTGTTGTTGTTGTTGTAACAGTGTTTTTTCAACTTCACAGAGGCTCACACTCACAAAGTCACCTTCCTTGGTGGACGAAATCAACACATGGTTCCCGTGGCACACTGCGAACAGTGAAAGATCTGGAGTCCAAAGGGCTGCTGGGAGGGCATGGAGTGAGTTCACTCAGGGTCTACAATGAGTCTACAACCATGCAACTCAACAAAAGCACCTCCTGCCAGTGTTGAATACGACATACATGATATACCCAACAAAAAAAACCTATTCCCCATTCCTTCTGGCCCATATCCTCAGATTCGGTGGTCTTCGACCCCCCTGGCACCCACCTTTGGCCCACCTTCGAACCGAAGGGGGCGGCTGCCGCCCCAGAACGCAATGAGCAGCTCAGGTCTCCACAGCGGTCTTGACCCCGGATCGTGAGACGGTCGAGGCCGCCCGTCGGTGCCGACGCCT